ACTTAGATGCAGTTGTAAATAAGTTATCCAGTTACAGTAATGGCTGTCAATAAGTCACAAAGCACCTAGTGTCATTTAAATGATGTTAAGTAGTTGAAGGTATCCATTTTGAGCACATTTATTATTGGCAATGGGAGTGAATTTACAGTAATCAATAGAGTAAAATGGGTGTTTATTCATGAGATACTGAAATGCCAATATGTTTAATTAAAAACTTTAATAATTGACGTGTTTGAGGTATTTTAAATGCTTTTCAATCTTTTTATTTATGTGTCCAAAAATACCAAAGAGATATATCACAACCAGTGAGACATTCTTCCTCACTATTAAGGAAATTTGTACATAGTAAAAAAAAATAATCTGTCAAACTCTCCGGCCTTGCTGGTAACATATCAGCTGAAATTTTGAGCCCTGTGTTCAAAAACATTTTAATACAATCCCAAAAAGACTGTACCTAAAAACACCTTGCACCATAACCACTACAATAATGTGTAAGGTTTATATAGGGGTCATAGGTAGCAGTGGTTGTATAATAGGACTCGGTGCATATGTATGACAGGAACCTTACATTTGAGATGGGCTTACAGGTACAGCGACACTACAAACCCCTAAAGCATTACAACTTGCTGAAGTGCTCTACGTGTTAAGAGTGTGTCCTCTTTTTTTATGTTACAAATATGCATATTGCAATAAAAATTGGTAGTTTTTATAAATAAACTTTCAGTGAGACACTCATGTTACTTCCTGGTTTGTTTATGTTAGTGAAGGTCTCATGAGGCAGCAATTGCCCAGAGCACCTGCCTTGCAAAGACTTCTCACTGAGGTGCATTGGGAAGTCTGTGATTGGACAGCCACAGAAAGTCTGGGCGGGGTTAGAAGGGGAGGACTTGCAAAGACCGCAGGCAAGATATCTGCATTTCTGTAGCTTTTGCATGCTGTTTTTAGATATATCCTTAATGAAAAAAGTGCATAATTAAATGTATGCATGTTTTCATTGGGCAAATATCTACTAAACCAGGGCTTGACAAATCCCACGGCGACTAGGAAGTTTGTCCTGGCGCCTGGGATATGCAGGCCCGAAGCGACGAGGAAGAATGCAGACAGCCAGCTGACTGTGGGAGAGCAGAGTTGGGCCGGAGGCCGGTGTTATGGGAGAGCAAAGACCTGGTCAGCAGTCGCTGTGTTGAATGGAGCCGGGCGGAAAGGAAGGGAGCTACCATCTCCCTGCTCTGCTCCCACGTGCACCCTGCAGTGATGCAGAGAGCCGGAATATGATGTCAATCCGGCCCCGGCATACTAAACATTGCACGCCAGGGAGCAGAGAGGAGATGACCACGTCCCCACTGGACCCCAGGGAAAGCCTATCCATTTCAGCTCTCCAAAGGTAGAGAAGCTGAGTGGATTTTTTTTTTAAATTCTTTATTTTTGTTGTGCATGTATTGAAGAGATGCTCTTGCTATGCCCCAACAGCGTAACAAGGATTATAAAATACAAACAATGCAAGATACAGGGCATTTGAGATTAGGTCACAGTCTAATCATACATGTACTAACATGTAGATTATGTGGTCAATGTGGATTAGTTGGACATGTGAGTGGCTACGTGAAAATAAAGTTTGAGAAATGCTTATTAGATGCTTGAGTGGAGAGGAAAAGTTAAATATGGACATAAGCTCACTGAGTGCTAGGCAAGCATACATGGCGGCACAATGTTAGTGGGTGACAAGGTATCTGTAGACATGGCTAGTGGGGATAAGAAGACCCAGTAAAGTCATGGAATATGCGAACTGAGCCTATTGTGTAACTAAGTGTCATGACAGCGATATCAGGAACAGCGTGTAATCTGCTTAGAGAGGCTGGGGTTCCTATATAGTAGTATCTTTCGTTACAGATCTTATTTAAATAAATCTCTAGGAGATACAGTAGTGTTCCTGGGTGTAAGCCAGTTGTGCTGTCATTTACCAGCATTAATTATAGTGAGTACATGTGTAAGTGTGTGGTGTTCGCTAAGTCAAACATAAAAGTGTTTCAACAGTTATGCTCCTAACAACCCCAGCAAGCTGAGCAATCTATTGTATTTCAAAAGTCACTTAGCCCACGCCAGCAGCTGGTATGTTATTGTCCCCCAAGGTGGCGTTGCATTGTATGAGGTCCATAGGTTGATGCAAAAATCTGTGTGCGCCTTGTCCCTCAGCCTCTCGGTCAGGAAACTCGGGTCCCGCTTCATCACGTGTCAGAGTAGGCCCCTTAGCAGCCGATCTAGAGTTATGCCGTTGCGGTCTGCGCCATCGGGAACGTACCCTCCAGGTGGCTGAAGCCTTAGTTCGGGCCTGGAGATATCGGTGAGTCCGTGCAGATGAGTGGCGTTTTTGCTTCATCTGTACGTTATGGCGTCGAGTGGGAGTGTCGGCGGTCGCCTGTCGGGGGAGGTTGCGGCTCGGTATCAGGCCCTGTTTCCCCGAGGGGCGAGCCTACTTGCTGGACGCTTGATGCCGGTAAAGCTGCTGAGGTGATTCATCGGGTGGCTGTAGTGGGCCGTGGGGGGTCAGTGTTGGTGGGCGACCCGGTGCTGCGCCTAGTGGTATTCCCCTCTTTATGGGACCGGCTCGGGGATTGTGACCAGGACCGACACTCAGAGCGGCTGCAGCACCGGCGGGGAGAGGATCTCCATTACGTGCATACGCCTATGTCCCATAAGTGGGGGACTAATACCACTGAATGTGAAGTACACCTGAGCTAGTTCAAGCTCCACAATAGGTGAGTGCGATACCTCTTTACTTTGAATCTTCATAAAGAAGCGGAAGTTACAGTCTACACTATTGGATTTTTTTCTCTGTTCTATTTTGCATATTGCTATCCGGAACAAGACACTACATCCATTCCTCTACTCCCATTTGGACTATTTCTCTTTTACAAGTGGATGCGACCATTTCCTGCTTACTTTAGGACTGTTTTTCTCTCTTTTTTTTATGTACTGATATATGTAAGTACTTACCATATTGCATATATACATTTTATTATTTTTAAATGAAGACATTTCAGTTTTAACCTATGTTTGTATTATTTGTTTTATCTATTTACATACAATTTTTTGGCGTGACCTAATACCTTTTTTCCTTCAGATTTTCCCCCTTCTCTGACGTACTGTGAGGGAACGTCTTAATTTTAGGTTGCTGCCTATACTCATATTCTGCACTATTCTATTGACACACTAAGCAATGAATCCACTACTATTTACACATTCCCCTCTTTATTGACTGCACGTGGCCCCTCTCACCTGCTCTCATGGGGGTTTGCCTTCTTGTCTGTGCACTCTGTACACGGAGCTGCAGCTTCTCCCAAAAGTTGGCGAACAGCTCGTCGAGGCGCTTCGTGAGGTCGGTGCTGCTGTCAGGGCGCTGCTTTGGGGTTGCGGGCTGGAACTGCTGCTGTGGTGAATACTCAGCCGCCATTTTGTATGTGCCTCGTGTATTGCCGGCCCTGGAGCTTGTCAGCTACGTGGCTGTCGATGCAAATGGGTTGCTCCAAGCTCACAGTGAGGACTGGGATAGACCCCACCGGTCCGGGGGGGTAGGAGATTTGAGGGTCGAGGTGATTCTTTAGCAGGTAGGGAGAAAGGAGAGCGTTCGTCTCTCCCCAGCTCGCTGTCCTGTAGGCCTCGGTTACCGCAGTTTGGGTTCTCGGGTGGTCGGACTGATGATTTGGGCATCCACAGATGTGCCGGGTGTCCCCAGTACGGCTCTACCCCTCTAGAGTGGATTTGCGCCAGTTATTGGGGTATTTAGTCCCGAAATGAAGTATTTTGTGCAGGAGCTTGGTCTTGGCACGTCCACTCAGCCTGGATGCTAGGCTCCGCCCCAGCTGAGTGGATTTTAATTAAAATAATTTAAAAAAATAAATAAATTACATCTTCTGAGTGTGCGTGTGTATATGCATGTGAATGTGTGTTTCTGTCAGTGAGTGTGTGTCTGAGTTTGTGTGTTTGTGTGTGGCTGTCTGTCAGTGTGTGTGTGTCTTGAGAGTGTCTGTCTGTTAGTATTTTGTGCAGGAGCTTGGTCTTGGCACGTCCACTCAGCCTGGATGCTAGGCTCCGCCCCAGCTGAGTGGATTTTAATTAAAATAATTTTAAAGGGGGGCGGAGCCTAGCTGCCAAGCAGAGTGGACGTGCTGAAACCCAGCTCCTGCATTATCTGCCTGATTTTGGGGAAAATACCCAGTAAAACTGGCACAGAACTACTTTAAAGGGCATAACTGAATTGGGATCCTCGGGGGGCAACTCTGGACACCCAAATCGACTAGCTAACCACCCGAGATCCCTAACTGCGGTGACCGAGGCCTACAGGATGGCTGGCAGAGGGGAGACGGCCGCTCTCCTTTCCACCTACCTGCTCCACGACCACTTCGACCCTCATTCATCCTGCCCGCCCCCCCCCCCGGGACCGGTGGGGGATATCCCGGTCCTCGCCGCGGGCCCAGTCCGAGCCTATACACAGCGTGTGGACACCAGGGCCGGCGACACGTGGCCCATCGAAAATGGCGGCGGAGTACTCGCAGCAACTCAGCTTGAAGCAGCTAAGCAGAGCTCCGACTGCGGCACAGACCTCATGCAGCGTCTGGATGCACTATTCAACGACTTCTGGGAGAAGCTCCAGCGGCGCGAACAGCGCACCAAGACAAAGCGACAGGATCCCATGGACCCAAGAGAGGGGAGCTATGGGCGGCCGGGCGAGAGGGGGACTCCCTCGGGCGCAGCACGAGACCAGAAGCTGACACTCACCCACCCCGGCCCACCCGGGCTGCAGGCCAAGAGGGCCTTGACCCGAAGGCGTCGGCCACATAGGCGGAAACACAAGCGGCAATCAACCTACAGACCTCCCGCCACCCCCATGAGGGGGAGACACTCGGGCAACGTGTGCCACCGAGTCTCAGGCCAGAAGACGCAGGCCTGCACACCAGCTTGGGGCAAGAGGGACACCCCCACCACCGGCCGAGCGTCAACACCTCCTCTGGACCAACCGGAGAGCCTCAGCCGCATTCCCACAGAAGGAATAGGATAAATAGTGACTCACCACAAACTCTCTTATGACCCGCATACGCTACCCCACGGGTCCAGATGCAAGTGCCGTGCCGGTGACCGCTGCATACCAGTTTGATTTCATGTGCTGACAAATGCTTTTTGCCAACCACAGTATACCTTACTCACGCTTGTTTATATTAGCCTTCTATTAGTTAAGCATAGGGCGTTAGATGTTTAATCTTATCACCGAAGAATCACACAGTTAATGTTATTGCATCAGCATGAATAGACCTTGAGATTGGTGATCTTATATTCGTTGCACTCATAGTAAACCACGAAAGATAGAATGTTACTCAGATTTAATGCCTAGTCAGCCTGTTCTGTAAAGATAACTTCCAAGCAAGTTACTGTATAACTGTGCCCATGCCCTGATAAAACTGGGCATCTACTGCTAAATGGTGATTTTTGTATTGCACTAAGTGCTCAAGGCCTAGCCTGTAAGCCACGTGAAGCCTAGGAGTACTACTTTATCTGTACAGCTACTGATATATATATATGCATGACCTGTACTGTTCTCAGCCTAGGTTTTTCGGCAAGCAACATAGAAATACTCCTAGTTATGTCACATCCTCATACAAAACGATTCTGAACTAGCTATCTTAACTTCTTACAGCTTAAAGTATGATTGACTAAGCATGTTTATATTAAAAAATTGTGCTTGATAGACATATGTCCCGCATGTAACGCGGAGGAATAGCCTGAGGATTGCTTTTGGGGCACCTCAAGCCTGCCTGTATCATTTTCATGCACTGCAAAAATAAAGAATTAAAAAAAATAATTTTAAAAAATAAATAAATTACATCTTCTGAGTGTGCGTGTGTATATGTATGTGAATGTGTGTTTCTGTCAGTGAGTGTGTGTCTGAGTTTGTGTGTTTGTGTGTGGCTGTCTGTCAGTGTGTGTGTGTCTTGAGAGTGTCTGTCTGTTAGTGAGTGTGTCTGTTTAGGTGACCGATCCCCCTCTGATTGCATGGGAAAGTTGATTTTACTCACCTTTTTTCCATGCCGTGACAGTCTCGCCGTGGCTGGACCCTCCTCCATGGCTGAGATAATTAATATTGATCATCTCAACCAAACCAGTGCTTTCACAAAGGAAAGCATTTGGTAGGCTATTGTGCATTCACTAATCTGTATCTCCTCATATAGATCCATTAAATCAATGCATCTCTGTGAGGAACATTCAGCGCCTCTACGCTGAACGTGGATAAACTGAACATAGGGGCTGCACGCTGTGCAGTATTGGACTAGGAAGCACATCTAGTGGTCATATGAGTGCCTGAGGGCAGCAATGTAAAAAAAGGCAGTGTTTACTTTGAAAAGCCTGAAAGGACAAGCTACAGACACCAGAACCACTACATTAAGCTGCAGTGGTTCTGGTGACTACAGTGTCCCTTTAAGAATTGTATTTTTGTTGGAGTTAGTTCAAAAATACTGGCTCCTAACTTTTTGTAGCTGCCTCCTAGCTCCATGCAAATTTGCCCTGTACCAAACAGTTTTTTTATGTGTGGAATAAGATGTACAAAGACATTTAAAAACGAGGATAACAGACACAAGAGGGGGTTAACAAAAGAGGGGTAAAAAACCCCAACAATGGAATAAAGATGCAAAAGTGAGAATAAGAACGACAAATTTTACAATACCCTAAAGGGAGCCCCCTGTCACTGATCTACTGTTCAGTGTTAAACCATTCTTGATCAGATTGACACGGAATGTTGGTGCCCTGGCTCAGTCAATGTTCCCAGCCCATCGCTGGAGAGGAACAGCAGAGAGGGGCTCATTCATCATTAATTTTATGGCAAGACAGGAGGCTTCATATTTGCTTATCTTTCTTTACTGTAACTCCCAGCAGCAAAGAAACAGTTAACAGCAGTGTAAAAAGTTTAACCAATCAGCATGCATTACAGTAATATAAACTGCCATCAAACTCCTCCCAATTCCTCTTTCTTTGCTGCTTAGCCTCCCAGGTGAGTCTATTCTAATTATACTCCTACTAAATTCTCTAGTTTAACTGACTAATATATATTGTATATTATTTTAATATTTCTCATACAGTTTTTCATTTTATGTTTCTGTGCTTTGCTTCTATTTATTTATGTTACATGGGCTGACACTCCAGTCAGCCCACAAACTCAATTTACCTCAACATTTCCTCACTCTTTTATTTTTTGTACTGTCAGTTTAATTTCCATAGCACTAACGCTTTCCCTGCAGCACCCGGCATCTTGCCGGTCCGCTCAGCCGCTCAGTTCCCTCACACACAATGTGTGTTTCCCGCCTTTTTTCATGCCGCGGCCATTTCTATTAGTCTTTTCCCGGGCTTCCCTCTCAGCGCCATCTTGTGGCAGGCTTATGCGCGGCGGTTCCCTCGCATCTCGGCTCTCACTGCAGGACGCGACCCAGCCGTTTGGTAAGTATATATTTTTTTTCTCTTAAAGCCCCAGACCCTTTAATTTTACAAAATTAAAGACATACCCAATACTCAAAACTTCAATTTTTCTTGCAGATTTCAGCATAACTGCCAACACAGCTTACACAAATCCTTGCTTGATTCTGAGGGTGACCCCCTCTAGCCTTTATTCTGAGGGTGACCCCCTCCAGCCTTTATTCTGAGGGTGACCCCCTCCAGCCTCTCCTTCAAGGGTGACCCCCTTTGCTGTCTCTATACAGGGTAATCCCTATATGATAACACAGGCACATACCTGTTATTAGATCTTGGACACTATATTGTCCTTCTCTCTCTGGGTGAACCCCACTGATGAATTGTGGACGAACTCCACTTTTACAGGATAATTGCTTTTTTACATGCAGTCTAAGTCCACCGCCTCATTGTAATTAATTTGTCTGCACAAAAAAAAACAAAAAAACTTTTTATATATATTGTAAATATAATAATTAATTTCTCTTGTGGTGACCCCACTGTTACTGACATTATGTCGGATGTGCCAGAACCAGCAGTTTCTGCCGAACTTAAGGCTTGGCTTTTCAATGCCATTACTGAATCTATACCCAAAGCTTTAGCGGCTTTCCGCGAGCAGACAATCCCAGCCCCTACGGCGACCATTACCCAACAAACGCCCTTGGAAAGGCGATAGGGCCACCGCCGGTAAAGGCAAAGCGCCTGCTAAACACCCTAAAGTGCCCTATTCTAAACCCAAGCAAACCTCCCAACATGATTTTGACGCATTTGAGGGTTCAACCTCTAATTATAATCTCCACGTATTAGACGAATACTACGCAGAACACTCGGATACTGAGGCTCCACCTCATAAGACCTCTACCCTTCCGATTCTGCAACTAATGAACCCCCCCTCATTCCTCTAGAGGAATTCCAATTGGAGTCTGATCTCACCTCTGAAAACCCTAACTTGAAAGAGGATACCTTATTTGACACCTCTGGCCGCCCTTTATTTGACCCCAGATGCATCAGGCACCCTAGATCGGCCGAATGGACACCCCCGGACCACATTGGCAAATACTGCAGAATGTGGCTCTGTCGGCCTTTAGAAAAAGAGGTGAGAGCCAAATTAAGGGCTGAATGCCCACGCCCCTCTATCCCAGACAAGGTGGCCAATACACCCGAATTCGACCCTTTCCTTGTGACCTTTCTAACCAAGTCAGGAAAAGACCCCCGTAAGGGTCTAGAACAGGGTCTGAAAGCCACTCAGGACAAGTTGATGGATGTGGCGGGCCCACTTATACAAATCTTCATAATTGCAGACGAGGCTTTATCAGGTGGCACATTTGATGCACATATGGTGCGAGAGTGGGCACAAAGAGCCTTATGCCTTTTAGGCAATGCCAATGTGGCAATATCAACTGAACGGCGGAAGGCCGTCCTTTATAAAATCGATGCCAAACTTGCCGAATTGGGCACTAAAGAACTTGGTCCAGAGGCTCAAGGCATGTTATTTGGAGACAAGTTCATAAAAGAACTAAGTAAGCACGTCTCTGTTTTTACTACACTGACAAAAGCACAGTCCTCCATTCGCAAGGTATTTCGCACTCAGCGTTTTTCTGGAAGAGCTGGTCGCTATAGAGGCCGAGCAACTGGCAGAGCCGCCTTCACAGGCTACAGGCCTCGACCTTCAGACACCTGGAACTCGGGCAATACCCGATTCCACCACAGACAATTTTTTCCCACTCGCGGAGCTATCCGAGGACGTGGATCCGCTTCCCTCCGCGGTCGCACTGCTACAGGTAATGGACCTTCCTTATTCTCATATTCCTATTGCAGGTCGGTTAACCCTTTTTTCCCAACAGTGGTCTCAACTCACTCAGGATCCTTGGATCCTTCAGACGGTGTCCGGGTTCCACCTGGATTTTTCAGTCGAACCAATACAAAATTTTCCTCCTACCCCAATCAAAATGTCACTGTTAGACGAGTCGACTCTACGGAGCGAACTCGACGATCTATTCACCAAGGGTGCGATCGAAAGAGTTGTTGGCCCACAGATCTTCATAAGCAACATGTTTCTAGTCAAGAAAAAATCAGGAGGTCTACGACCTGTCATCAACCTGAGAGATCTGAACAAGTTCATCGCATACCGTCACTTCAAAATGGATGGGATCCATTTATTGAGAGACCTACTCTCCGAGGGAGATTGGTTCTCCCGCTTCGACCTAAAGGATGCCTACCTAACGGTGCCGGTAACACCAGCACACCGCTGCCTCCTACAGTTTCGTTGGGAACAAGCACTATGGCAGTTCACATGCCTCCCCTTCGGCCTATCTTCTGCACCCTGGTGCTTTACCAAACTAATGAAACCAGTGATGGCCTTACTGCGCTCCCAAGGCATCCGATCCATAATCTATCTGGACGATATCCTCCTCATGGCACAAGACCAAGAAACTCTCCACCTTCATACAAGCATGACCTCCGCCCTATTGCAGAATCTTGGTTTCGTGATCAATCACCAGAAATAATCTTTAACACCGTCCCAGACGATACAGTTCCTGGGATTCCAGATAGACTCTGTTCAAGCAGTCCTTCAACTTCCGGCATCCAAAATCAAATCCATCAAAAAAGACATTCGGAGGTTACTGATATCACCACACCTCCGCCTGCGAGATCTAGCCCGCACCATCGGCTTGCTCTCCGCCTCAATACAGGCTATATTCCCTGCCCCACTGCACTACCGGGCA